TTGGTGGATGGGATAAGATACATAAATATGATACCTCCATGCAATGCCACTTAGATCACGGTATTAATGTTTATATGGTATTATTTATTATTTTTATGTTAAAAACAAAGCATCTTGTATATTGTTTATAATAACTTATGCAACATTAGTGTATTAACGCATCATTATAATATCAATAAATTGTATGATTACCCTTTTGCCAAAACGAATGTTCATAAAATGTTGTAAAATTGAAAATTCTGATCATCAAATCAAGTGATTACCAATGATTGAAGTTTGTATATTAACCCGATTTAAATTGCATAACCGGAGCAAAACAAATCTCCTTCCTCTTCCATTGTTATTGTAGTTGCAGCATCCTTCCTCTCAAGTTACCCCACTACTACTCTTATAACAGAGCGTCTGGGTTTATGCTCTCATGATGAAACCGTTTTGTAATACTACTCCAACCTATTCCCAACGCTCACCCGCCCAGTCTACCATTGGACAGCACTCTATGAGTTTTGTATGTACAGTAAAAGATGAAAGCAATATGCTGTATTAACCCGAAAGAAGCCTTGTTTTCTACTGTGTCAGTGTGCTGCTTGTGTACAGTTTGTGTGGGGCTGGGGTCGATATGTCCATGAGAATGTTCTGAGAGCGATAGATAGTCATGACTGCTATGCTAGCTGCACACTCTTTCGTTTTCCCCTCTTTCGTTTTCCCCTCTTTCTTTTCTGTCGTTTTCTTGCTGTCCCTCTTTTGTATTCTGATAAATTGAAAGGGCAGCGATCTGTCACACTGAATAAAATGGAACAGAGTCACTGTCATTGTTCCGTCGTTTTCCGTTTCCTCTTTTGTACTGTGTTGAGTCTCATGCAGTCGTCCCCTGTTATTCTTTCAAATTCATGTTGGAGCAGTACTATGAAACCCTGTACAAAAAAACAACATGTTGAAGGTAAAGCTTTTCAATTTTTTCTCATGTCCCTTTTTAGCTCTGGTACAGGGCGTTAGTGCACGTTCCTATACTACACTCAGAGGCAGAGGCAACTCGTCGTTGTTGTCGTCGCGTGATGGACCAGAGCTAGTCCTCTAACAGTATGAAGAAACCCAGGATGCCTATACTGACAGAGCTCCAGTAGTATTCTCAATATGAATTGAACTCCTTATTTTTTGTCATGAAAAACTCAAGAGAACACACAATGTAGTGTAAGGAGTGCATCCCAAATGGCACCCTATTCCCTATATAGTGTACTACTTTTGACCAGGGCCTATAGCGTGTAGGCCTAAATAATATACACTCATTAACAGGGGCGGTGTGTTCATTAGGGCGATATGGGCGACGCACTGCCAAACGGGAAAAGGAAGGGATTTTTTTCTAATCAATTATATCACGGCAACAGTAGTTATCAGTGTTCTAATCTAGACGTCTGATCTGCCACTAAATGTCCAATCAGGCTAAAGTCGTGCTTCAAATGCCCCCCCCCCCCCCCCCCTTTTGGGGCGATTTCAGTCAGGTTGAAAATCGCCCCAGAAGTCTCTCATAGACTCTCATGTAAAAAAAATGTTTTTCAAATATCAGAGCTTTCAATACAATCTCTATGGGTTTCTGAGGGCTTGCACTTACGCGCTTTCGTCATACGTAACATAACCATGAACGTAACTAAGAAAAGAGCGGGTAGCAGCGTCAATCAATTCACGTACTACTATCAAGATGGCTAACGTTCAGTGCAACTTGATTGTCTCTTTGAAAGAAGTTCACATCAAAGACCATTCAAAACGAGCTACTGGAGTGTATGCTAGCGGTCATGAGGGAACATATTGTGGAGGAGGTGAAGTCGGCGAACTTCGTAGCTATCCAAGCTGACGAGACCACAGACGTTTCTACACAGACACAGCTGGTGCTTGTGCTGAGGTACATAGATAGCGCTTTTTTGAGTTCCTTCCCATCTCGGAATCAACCTCAGTCTCAATCGCCAGTGTGCTTTTGGAGAGACTGAACGGTATTTTTGCCGACGACGAGAAAGTCAAACTGTGGTGCACTGGCACTGTACCAGGTTCTCATGAGCTACAACCTCCAGGAGACGTTCTCTGAGACTGTGACTCTGTTGAACATCCTCATAACTACTCCAATGACAACAGCTGAAGCTGAGAGATGTTTCTCAACTTTGACACGAGTTAAGACATTCCTGCGAAATTCAATGGGCCAGGAACGTCTGAATGCACTGGCCATGCTTTCCATGGAGAGGGAACTAGTCCTCAGCATGCCTGATTTCAATGAGAAAGTCATTGACCGCTTTGCTGCATTGAAAGAGAGAAGAGAACAGTTTCAGTACAAGTAATGTAGCCTCTCTCTCTCTTTGTCCCTCCCTGTCTGTCTCTTTAACACACACACGCCCAAATCAGTTCACAGTTGATGTTGTTTAAAATAGTTATTTTTCATTTAAAAAAAAGTAAAAAAAATAAAATAATCTGTTCATGTTCATTTTTACAAATCTATACAATTGGCCAGAATATGGTTGTTCATTTTTACAAAGCCATACAGATAGCTGTGTTTACCTTTTCTAGAAATTATTTTCAAATTCTGTTTTCAGGCAAAATGTCTATCACTGTTCATTTTCACAAATATATACAAGAGGGCAGAATATGGAAGTCTATAAAAATTTCTTATTACCAATAACTTGCATCAATGTTTTCAGTAGCCTCTATCAAAAGCTCCTGCTTGCTTGTTGTGAATTATGCTCAGGTGCACATATTTCCAATTCAACCATGAGGCAAAAAATGTGGTAAAAGCTCTTGTTGATCCTGCAATCTGAACAAATACCAAGATGCTGTATTTTCAGCTGATATTTCATTTGTTTATGGAAATGCATATTGTTTATGCAGTGTTGAGGAATGTGAAAGAACACCCTTGATTATTTTTACTGTGATAACTTATTTTGCTTTTGTAAGCCAACACTTTTGAGATCAGTCAATAAATGCTTCTGGCATTGACTTATATGCTGCCCCTGTCTTCATGTTGTTGCTGGACATATCTTTTTGAAAATGTGTGTAGGTCACCTAAATCATCAGAAAAATTGCCCCCCCTGAGAATTTTTTCAGGAGCCGCCACTGCACTCATATCACACCCTACAGACAGTGAATACTTCAAATTCAATTTCAGGTGGTTTTCAGAGCTTTGCAGAATGCACGGAATAAGCTTGTTCACTTTTAACATTGCTTGGCTTCCCCACATGGAGCTAAATATAAATGTAATGTATTATACTATTATTATTATCACCTGACCATGTGACTGTGAGCATATCCCCCATAATGCTATTCTGTCCGAGTGTGGACAACACTGGCCAACCCACGTCTGCCTGGTTCAATCAAAACTGAACTGAGTCCCAGGTTACCGTCGTCCCAAATTGAACTTTATTCCCTTTATAGTGCACTACTTTTAACCAGAGCCCTATGGGTTCCATTTGGGACTGATCCCCCCCTACTCTCACCTACAACCACATGATTCTAGAGGGATTGAAATTTACTCCCTGCTCTCTTTCCCCCTTCCTTCTCTTCTCTCTTTCACTTCCTCCCTTCCTCACTCTTCTCCCTTTCACTTCCTCCCTTCCTCTCTCTTCTCTCTTTCACTTCCTCCCTTCCTCTCTCTTCTCTCTTTCACTTCCTCCCTTCCTCTCTCTTTCACTTCCTCCCTTCATCTCTCTTCTCTCTCACTTCCTCCCTTCCTCTCTCTTTCTCTTTCACTTCCTCCCTTCCGCTCTTCTCTCTCACTTCCTCCCTTCTCTCTTCTCTCTTTCACTTCCTCTTGTCCTCTCTCTTCTCTTTCACTTCCTCCCTTCCTCTCTCTTTCTCTTTCACTTCCTCCCTTCATCTCTCTTCTCTCTTTCACTTCCTCCCTTCCTCTCTCTTTCTCTTTCACTTCCTCCCTTCCGCTCTTCTCTCTTTCACTTCCTCCCTTCTCTCTTCTCTCTTCACTTCCTCCCGTCCTCCTCTCTCTTTCACACCTCCCTTCCTTCTCTCTTTCACTTCCTCCTTCTCCTTCCTTTCCTCTTCACGTCTCTTTCTCTTTTCACTTCCTCCCTTCCTCCTCTTCTCTCTTTCACTTTTCCTCCCTTGCATTCCCTCTTCTCTTTCCTTCACATGCCCCCATCTCCTTTCTCTTCACTTCCTCGTCCCTTACCGTCTTTCTCTTTCACTTCCTCCCTTCTATGGCCTCTTCGCTGGTCTTTCACTTCCTCCCTTCCTCTCTCTCCTTCACCACTGATCCTCGGCCTTCTCTCCTTCTCCCTCTCACTTCCTCCCTTCCTCTCTCTTCTCTCGTTCACTTCCTCCCTTCCTCCTCTCTCTCTCCTTTCACTGCCCCCTTCCTCCTCTTCTCCTCTTCCTTCCGTCCCCTTCCTCCTCTCTTTCTCTTTCATCCTCCCTTCGCTCTCCTCTTTCACTTGCCTCCCTTCTCTCTCTTCTCTCTTCACTTCCTCCCTTCCTCTCTCTCTCTTTCACTTCCTCCCTTCTCGCTCTTCTCTCTTTCACTTCCTCCCGTTCGCTCTCTTCTCTCTTTCACTTCCTCCTTCCTCTCTCTTCTCTCTTTCACTTCCTCCCTCCCTCTCCTCTTCCTCTTCACTTCCCTCCCTTCTCTCTCTTCCTCTTTCAATCCCTCCCTTCCTGCTCTGCTTCTCTTTCACTTCCTCCCTCTGCTCGTCTCTTCTCACTTCCTCCGTCTTCTCCTGTTCACTCCTCCCTCCCCTCTTCTCTCTTTCACCCGCTCCTCCGTCCTCCTTCCCTCTCCTTCCCTTCACTTCCTCCTCCTCTCTCTCTCTTCACTTCCTCCCTCCGCTCTCTCTCTTTCACTTCCTCCCTCATCCTCTCTTCTTTCACTTCCTCCCTTCCTCTCTCTTTCTCTTTCACTTCCTCCCTTCCTCTCTCTTCCTCTTTCACTTCCTCCCTTCTCTCTCTTTCACTTCCTCCCTTCCTCTCTCTTCTCTCTTTCACTTCCTCTCTTCCTTGCTCTTTCTCTTTCTAGAATCCTGCTGTGCTTTGTGGTTGTGGGGACACTGTCGCTGCAAGAGGGTATCCCCAGAGAGGGTATGTATGTGATGTCTATGTGTCTGTGTCAGCCTACTACTATGCACCATTTATGAAATCATTAGAAGGGGCCTCCATGCCTTGGCGAGGGCAGTAGTAAAACCAGGAGAAGAGAAGGGACAGTGAGAAGCTGCTGACCCACAGACAGCAGACTGTTAGGAGGATCAAGGCCCGTTTCCTGGAGGCCCTACAGACCAACAACACAGGGGAGGTCCCGGAGATACTCTACACTACCAACATGGATATCCACACTGTGCTTCTGGAGGTGGAGGACAAACGCATGGTCCTGGCCTCATACAAGCAAGGCAGGGTTGGGGTATGCAGGAACTAAGGTAAAGGCAGTTCCTGCATACTCCTGATAGGAGTATGCAGGAACTAAGGTAAAGGCATGGTTGTGATCAAATTCACGCGTGGTAAAGGTGAATCCTGTTGACACTGTTGACTGACTAAGGTAGGCCTCCATGTATGGTTGGTTGGAGATTTGATAGATCACAGATAGCAGCTTGTAAATATTAGGGGCATTGTGTTAACTCTGTCATAGGAGGCTGGTGGCACCTTCATTGGGGAGAATGGGCTCTGGTAATGGCTGGAGCAGAATCAGTGGAATGGTAACAATTACATCAAACACATGGTTTCCATGTGTTTGATGCCATTCCATTTGCTCCGTTCCGGCCATTATTATGAGCCGTCCTCCCCTCAGCAGCCTCCTGTGAACTCTATACATACTTAGTGAACACTGACCTACTGCTACGTCTGATACTCAGGGCATTGGTAGCAGATTTGTGGCTACCTTGTTCTTTGCGTTTGTTTAGATAGGGTGTGGTGGGTAATTTAACAATCAACAGTGCTTACACAGGTGGAGAGGAGTATTGTAGGATACCACCCACTGGAGGGCGCTAGACCTCCATCAGACCCACTTAGAGTACCCTGAGTAGGATGCTTTTACAGAGCTATAAACTATGAACAGGGAGAGTTTATAGAGTTGGAAAGGGCCTAAGACGATTGACTTCTTGTTGTCATTCTCCTCATACATACCGGTATATTCACTCCTGCTCTTTGTGCCACCTTATATAACAATGCTAGGTAAAGGGACATACATACTCCCGCTCTGTGCAAGAGACATTCAGACACTGCTCAAGGTTTCTGGTTGCCTGACTACAAGCCGGAGTGTTCATGGGTGATGGCCCTCCCCTGTGTGATGTACAATTCCCTGGAGACAGCCCTGGTGCTGCTGCAAAAGCGTGCGGCTGATAACAGGAAGCCAAATGGGAAGACCCTTCTTCATGTGGCCTGTACGGTCGCTCACGGCGACCGTGTGGCCCTGTAATTAGGCCACGGGATGAGGGTCAACAGCCTGTCTCTGAGTGGACACACACCACTACGCTATTGTCCCACTGGGCACACACCGGTTGAATCAACGTTGTTTCCACGTCATTTCAATTAAATTACGTTGAACCGACGTGGAATAGACATTGAATTGACTTCTGTGCCCAGTGGGGTATTACTAAAGAGGCTATGGACTGAGCCAAGCAGCTCATCCTCAATGGTGAGAATGGATGGAGTTGAGAATGAAGTATACTAGTGTTCAGTGCAGGTCAAATTGTGTTATGTTCAGGTTGCCATGTCTTTGGATATGCAAAATCATATGATTAAGTAGGCATTTTCTACTTCCCTGCCTGCCTCCCTCCCTCCCTCCCTCCAGGGGGCAATGTGAACAAGCCCAGTCAGAGCGAAGATGAGGACATACCTTTACACACGGCAGCCCGCCTGGGTATCCCTGAGCTGGTGGCTCTCTACATCTCCCATGGGGCCCAGATGGACGTGGTCAACTCCCTCCAGGAGATGACCCTGATAACTGCAGCCTTTTGGAACCTGGACAGACCTACAGTAAGGACCGCCACCTGGTCTGCCGCATGCTGCTGGATCATGGAGCAGGTGAAAGGAAATTGGGTGTTCTGGCCGTCCTCTTTTGTCTGTTTGGTAACGAGACTAAAAACAGGACACTTGGGTAGGCTTTCAGCTGAAATTGCATTCAGCTGTGTTTGGAATTATTAAATATTCTGCTGAGATTTTCTATATGTTTCAATCTGGTTACTGCAGAAATGCACGACATTTGCCATCATTCTGTTTTAAATGTGTTTTTAACCGTTTTGGAAACAGTGTGTTAGCATTTGAAAACGTGCTGCAAATATATAGTTTTGCAGGTGGTATAAATGAGAAAATAGTTCATGGATTTAAGAGAATGTGGTCATTGAATGCATTTTGTGTGAAAGCAATGAAAAATGATTCACAATTTGGTCCACATACACTTCTGTTTCGCTGACTGTGTGAAGAGTTTTGACAATGTGACTTCAGTTTTGACCAATGCATGTTAGCAATAAAAAAAAAACTGTAATGGATGTCTCAGTCTGACAGCTGGATCAGCGGATGTCTCAGTCTGACAGCTGGATCAGCCTCTTTCAGACATTAATACTGGATGTCCTGGTCTATGATCTCACCTGTTGTTGTGACTCCAATGATTCACTGCAGCTTCAGTCTCTCTCTCTCTGTGTGTGTGTGTGTGTGAGTGTGAGTGAGTGAGAGAGAGAGAGAGAGAGAGAGAGAATGACTCACCACTGCAGAGTTTCTTATTAGAGGGGTGGATTTCACCCAGCAACCAGCACATGCCCTCATGTGCTCTTATCAAAAGGACAACTACTTGGCAGTTCACTCAACAAGACATTTCTGTGTGTTGCCATTGACTTGATAGTGAAGTGTTGCACAGACATCATCACAGGGACTTGCTATCTTTAGTTCCAAGACAAATGTTTTGGAATACTCTGATAATGACTGCGTTATCTAAGATTGTTTTATTTTTGTATTATTTTTGTATCTCATTTATTCTACTGCAATCTGTGTTTACATTTGCCCATAGATAGACAGTAGAACATTTTGGGGGGAAATGTATGAGTCCTTGAAATACTCAGTCACGGTAAGATAGTTAAATATGCATAAATGTACAGTAGCCTACAGCATGCACCTGGACACTTACATACGCTGCCTTCAGAAAGTATTCACACCACTTGACTTCTTCCACATTTTGTTGTGTTACAGCCTGAATTTAAAATTGATAAAATGTTGATTTTGTGTCACTGGTCTACACGCAATACCCAATATTGTCAAAGTGGAATTGTGTTTTTCATTTCATTTTATACAAATTAATAAAAACGAAAAGCTGAAATGTCTTGAGTTAATAAGTATTCAACCCCAATTGTTATAGCAAGCCTAAATATGTTCAGGAGTACAAATGTGCTTAACAAGTCACATAATAGCACAGTTAGAGCATGGCGCTTGCAACGCCAGGGTTGTGGGTTCGATTCCCACGGGGGGCCAGTATGAGAAAAGAAAATGTATGCACTCACTAACTGTAAGTCGCTCTGGATAAGAGCGTCTGCTAAATGACTAAAAATTTAAAATAAAAAAATTAAAATAAGTTGCATGGACTCAGTGTGCAATAATAGTGGTTAACTGATGATTTTTGAATGATTACCTCATCTCTGTACCCCACACATACAACTATCTGTAAGGTCCCTCAGTCGAGCAATGTTTTTCAAACACAGATTCAACCACAAAGACCTGGGAGGTTTTCCAATGCCTCGCAAAGAAGCGCACCTATTGTTAGATGGGTAAAAAAAAAAAAGCAGACATTGAATATCCCTTTGAGCATGGTGAAGTTATTAATTACACTTTGGATGGTGTATAAATACACCCAGTCACTACAAAGATACAGGTGTCCTTCCTAACTCAGTTGCCGGAGAGGAAGGAAAACACTCAGGGATTTCACCATGAAGCCAATGGTGATTTTAAAACAGTAAGAGTTTAATTGCTGTGATAGGAGAAAACTGAGGATGGATCAACAACATTGTACATATAAATAGTTATTCCACAATACTAACCTAAATGACAGAGTAAAAAGAAGGAAGCCTGTACAGAATACCAATATTCCAAAACATATATCCTGTTTGCAATAAGGCATTAAAGTAAAACTGCCAAAAATGTAGCAAAGAAATTCACTTTATGTCCTGAATACAAAGCATTATATTTGGGGCAAATCCAACACAACACATTACTGAGTACCACTCTTCATATTTTCAAGCATGGTGGGGGCTGCATCATGTTATGGATATGCTCATCATTGGCAAGGGAGTTTTTTTAGAATGAAAATAAATGAAATAGAGCTAAGCACAGGAACAATTCTAGAGGAAAACCTGGTTCAGTTTGCTTTCCAACAGATACTGGGAGACAAATTCACTTTTCAGCAGGAAAATAACCTAAAACACAAGGCCAAATATACACTGGAGTTGCTTACCAAGACGACATTGAATGTTCCTGAGGGGCCTAGTTACAGTTTTGACTTAAATCCGCTTGAAAATCTATGGCAAGACTTGAAAATTGCTGTCTAGCAATGATCAACAACCAACTTCACAGAGCTTGAAGAATGTAAAAATAATAATGTGCAAATATTGTACAATCCAGGAGTGCAAAGCTCCTAGGGACTTACCCAGAATGACATACAGCTGTAATCGCTGCCAAAGGTGATTCTAACATGTATTGACTCAGAGGTGTGCATATTTATGTAAATGAGATATTTCTGTATTTAATTTTCAATGAATTTACTAAATTGTCTAAAAACAAATGTTTTCACTTTGTCATTATCAGGTATTGTGGGTGAGAAAAAATATATATTTAATCCATTTTGAATTCAGGCTGTAACACAACAACATGTGGAATAAGTCAAGGGGTATGAATACTTTTTGAAGGCACTGTATACACTTGACACTTACAAGTTCAATAAAGTACCTATTCAACATAAAGTAGCACACAGAAACTATGTATGGTCTCTAAATATCTTCCCCCTTTGTGTTGACCCTCTCCAGAGTACTTAGAGAATGTATTTATAATAGTGGAAGACTAAGTCTGGGTCTATTTTAATCAGCATTAGGTCTAATTTGCTATGATGGGAATAGGAATAACAGCAGAGAGCATCGAGGGAACACTTCAGATACTTGGGCTGAATAGGGCCAGACATCTAAGCTATTCATTATTCTGTTAGAGAGGAGATACCGAAGTGCGTCGCTGTGAGAGAGATTAACTAGCAGCCGTACACTCTGAGATGCTGAGCTATACAGGGTTCTTTACTTTACATAATGAGGAGAGAACACAATGGGAATGAATGGAGCAGCCAGGAACTCTCCACCTGTATAGTCCTATAGTCCCATAAACCAGGTGACAGGTATTATACAGTGGGGGAAAAAAGTATTTAGTCAGCCACCAATTGTGCAAGTTCTCCCACTTAAAAAGATGAGAGAGGCCTGTAATTTTCATCATAGGTACACGTCAACTATGACAGACAAAATGAGATTTTTTTTCTCCAGAAAATCACATTGTAGGATTTTTAATGAATTTATTTGCAAATTATGGTGGAAAATAAGTATTTGGTCACCTACAAACAAGCACGATTTCTGGATCTCACAGACCTGTAACTTCTTCTTTAAGATGCTCCTCTGTCCTCCACTCGTTACCTATATTAATGGCACCTGTTTGAACTTGTTATCAGTATAAAAGACACCTGTCCACAACCTCAAACAGTCACACTCCAAACTCCACTATGGCCAAGACCAAAGAGCTGTCAAAGGACACCAGAAACAAAATTGTAGACCTGCACCAGGCTGGGAAGATTGAATCTGCAATAGGTAAGCAGCTTGGTTGGAAGAAATCAACTGTGGGAGCAATTATTAGGAAATGGAAGACATACAAGACCACTGATAATCTCCCTCGATCTGGGGCTCCACGCAAGATCTCACCCCGTGGGGTCAAAATGATCACAAGAACGGTGAGCAAAAATCCCAGAACCACACGGGGGGACCTAGTGAATGACCTGCAGAGAGCTGGGACCAAAGTAACAAAGCCTACCATCAGTAACACACTACGCCGCCAGGGACTCAAATCCTGCAGTGCAAGACGTGTCCCCCTGCTTAAGCCAGTACATGTCCAGGCCCGTCTGAAGTTTGCTAGAGTGCATTTGGATGATTCAGAAGAGGATTGGGAGAATGTCATATGGTCAGATGAAACCAAAATATAACTTTTTGGTAAAAACTCAACTCATCGTGTTTGGAGGACAAAGAATGCTGAGTTGCATCCAAAGAACACCATACCTACTGTGAAGCATGGGGGTGGAAACATCATGCTTTGGGGCTGTTTTTCTGCAAAGGGACAATGATCCCAAACACACCGCCCGGGCAACGAAGGAGTGGCTTCATAAGAAGCATTTCAAGGTCCTGGAGTGGCCTAGCCAGTCTCCAGATCTCAACCCCATAGAAAATCTTTGGAGGGAGTTGAAAGTCTGTGTTGCCCAGCGACAGACCCAAAACATCACTGCTCTAGAGGAGATCTGCATGGAGGAATGGGCCAAAATACCAGCAACAGTGTGTGAAAACCTTGTGAAGACTTACAGAAAACGTTTGACCTGTGTCATTACCAACAAAGGGTATATAACAAAGTATTGAGAAACTTTTGTTATTGACCAAATACTTATTTTCCACCATAATTTGCAAATAAATTCATTAAAAATCCTACAATGTGATTTTCTGGAGAAAAAAAATCTCATTTTGTCTGTCATAGTTGACGTGTACCTATGATGAAAATTACAGGCCTCTCTCATCTTTTTAAGTGGGAGAACTTGCACAATTGGTGGCTGACTAAATACTTTTTTTCACCACTGTATATCTTATAGCATGTGATGTCTTTCTGAGGGAGTAATTGCAGGGGATTGCACTGTCGCTTGTGAGTTTGGAGTGTCTGGTAGCTAGCTACACCCATCCACACACACACACACACACACACACCATCTTCTTTCCCACCCCCTGTGTCATCTGGAAGTAATGATTTTCCCGGGCCTGCCGCCTATAATTCCACTCGTTATCATCAGGCCCTGAAACAGAGAACAATACCCACCAGAACCTCTCCACTACCATAGCCCAAACCATAGCCTCTCCACTAACATAGGCCTCACCATAGCCTCTCCACTACCATAGGCCTCACCATAGCCTCTCCACTACCATAGTCCTCACCATAGCCTCTCCACTACCATAGCCTCTCCACTACCATAGTCCTCACCAGAGCCTCTCCACTACCATAGGCCTCATCAGAGCCTCTCCACTACCATAGCCTCTCCACTACCATAGTCCTCACCATAGCCTCTCCACTACCATAGCCCTCACCATAGCCTCTCCACTACCATAGTCCTCACCATAGCCTCTCCACTACCATAGCCCTCACCATAGCCTCTCCACTACCAAAGCCCTCACCAGAGCCTCTCCACTACCATAGCCCTCACCAGAGCCTCTCCACTACCATAGTCCTCACCATAGCCTCTCCACTACCATAGTCCTCACCATAGCCTCTCCACTACCATAGTCCTCACCATAGCCTCTCCACTACCATAGTGCTCACCAGAGCCTCTCCACTACCATAGTCCTCACCATAGCCTCTCCACTACCATAGTCCTCACCAGAGCCTCTCCACTACCATAGTCCTCACCAGAGCCTCTCCACTACCATAGTCCTCACCATAGCCTCTCCACTACCATAGTCCTCACCAGAGCCTCTCCACATCCATAGTCCTCACCATAGCCTCTCCACTACCATAGCCCTCACCATAGCCTCTCCACTACCATAGCCTCTCCACTACCATAGTCCTCACCAGAGCCTCTCCACATCCATAGTCCTCACCATAGCCTCTCCACTACCATAGCCCTCACCATAGCCTCTCCACTACCATAGCCTCTCCACTACCATAGCCCTTCAGAGCCTCTCCACTACCATAGTCTTCACCATAGCCTCTCCACTACCATAGCCCTCACCGTTATGTTCCAACACTCCCTCCATCTTGTGCCAATATCAGTTATTTTTAAGTCTTGTTCCAATAGATTATATTTTTGTCAGTTGGATAGGCTTGTCAGTTGGATAGGCTTTCTGCAAGGTGTTCTATATCTTACCTATCATAGGAGTATATTTTTCTGGCTCAAATACGATTCCCTCAACGTTGCTCTGCTGTCCAAAAGCTTTCAGGTCTACATTTTGTGATATAAAACGTTTAAGTTGCCTATATTAAGTACTACATTGGTCAGTCCAAAATTGCTTTTTAATTATATTATGCAAATAATTGTATGTCCTATTACCACGTCATTTAGGGTTTCCATGCCTTTAGTTATCCATGTGGGCCAATTTATTGGTGAATTCTGAAAAGCTATTCAAGGATTGTTGCATAGGGGTGTGTTTTTAGGGAGTGATATTGGTTCTTGTAGAATCCGTTTAATGTTCTTCCATGTTGTTATAGTGTTCTTAACTATGAAGTTGTTAATGTTCTAAGCTCCATCCTTTGAAAAAAACACGTGAAAGACTGTGTGCAGCCTACCCATTGTTCCTCTAGTTGATTAAATTCCAAATCTGGAAGGTTAAAACCACCCTCAGACATAGGAAGATGTAAAACTTTCCTATTTATTCAGAGTTTTATTTGACCATATGCAGTCTGTTATGGCCGACTATACTTTTTAAAAGTATGTCTTCAGTGGGGTAATTGGTATTACCAAAAATAAACTTTGGGAGCCATGCCATTCTAAAAGAGGTTTATTCTACCTGTAAGATTTATGGGGAGATTATTCCATTTAATTAGATCTGTTTTCATGTTGTAGAGGGGCAGGTGTTCTAAACAACATCAGTCAGGCACGGCTGGCGGCATTAAAAGAAAAGTAGAACAGTGTTCTCAGCAGGACTGGGATGACCAGATTGGCAGCTCTCCAGGAATGGACTCTGCTGGCACAGGGCCAGAAAGAGAAACCTCGTTGCCCTGGACACTCTGTTACTGAAAACAAGTGGTGGAAGGGGGGTGGAACGGGCGAGGTCAGAGGCAGAGAGTACAAGTTGTTAGACCATGAGGATGACTGAGAAAGCAGCTAGCTACATAACAGAGATAGAAAGGTTATGGGCAATAAAAGGGACCACAAATAGAATAAGGAATTGAAGGAATGTCTTGAATTGCTGAAATATTTTAATCTATTTCATATAATATATTACTCCTAGATTTCATTAATAAGATGTTTAACAAACATTGGAAATAGTCCAACACCACTGTATTGTTAGAGGTGCTATTGCAAATCTCTGATATCAATTTCTTGTCGACAATATATTATTCAGGTAAAAACACAACCAAGACAAGCCAGTCACATTTCCTAATTTAGTTTATTGTAGGTTTTAAAGATAACCAATCTGGTAGGGTGCACTAGGAAGCATGCTCTCTAACAGAAAGCTCTAGAATGCACAATGCTGTACTGTAGCATAGGTAGCAGCCAGGGCATTACAATACACAAGCAGTGATCATCAAGGCCATTCATATACAGTGAGGGAAAAAAGTATTTGATCCCCTGCTGATTTTTTACATTTGCCCACTGACAAAGAAATGATCAGTCTATAATTTTAATGGTAGGTTTATTTGAACAGTGAGAGACAGAATAACAACAAAAAATCCAGAAAAACACATGTCAAAAATGTTATAAATTGATTTGCATTTTAATGAGGGAAATAAGTATTTGACCCCCTCTCAATCAGAAAGATTTCTGGCTCCCAGGTGTCTTTTATACAGGTAACGAGCTGAGATTAGGAGCACACTCTTAAAGGGAGTGCTCCTAATCTCAGCTTGTTACCTGTATAAAAGACACCTGTCCACAGAAGCAATCAATCAATCAGATTCCAAACTCTCCACCATGGCCAAGACCAAAGAGCTCTCCAAGGATGTCAGGGACAAGATTGTACACCTACACAAGGCTGGAATGGGCTACAAGACCATCGCCAAGCAGCTTGGTGAGAAGGTGACAACAGTTGGTGCGATT